TACCCACGTTACAAATAATATAACATTATCGATCTGAACTGTCTCAACATTACGCACACCTTCATTATATGTGAGTATTGGGACGTGTGAGTGTACATAAAGGTTGAATTAGTCTTTTGTATGATCTTCACCTGTATGGATAATCTGAAAGAAAAACGATGCCATTTTTCCAGACACTATATGGATAAGCACATTTTACATTTTGATTTGTCAGTAATAAAGTATATGACGTATGTAGGCTCGCTTTGTTGCTAAAACATTTAAGTGAAACGCTTTATGTTCTTCATACACATTAAGATCAGTAGGTTGCTGCATTCTACATACAGGTATATTGTACAATTGGAATGACTTTAATTTACTAAAACAAAGTTGACTTTTTTATGTTTGACATTCATTTTGTCCGAATAAGCAAGATAATAAATATCATCAGATTCGTTGGGTATCTGTTGATAACTATAACGAATACTGAAATTTGATGACTGCTCATCATACAATGTTCCAGAAACACTGAGTGCTTTACACAAAGTGACCATATTTAACATTTTTGATGAGATCAAAACGGTACACTTCATTTGACATCATCTTCCTGAGGTAAGCATGAACTGTTGAGCCAAGATCTGGTTCAACTACTTTCATCTTAAATAAATCTTTATTTTTATCATTGCAAGCATCGAGCCTTACTCGTAATTTCAAACTTGTGGACTAAGTTTAAATTTTCCGACTGTGTGAACGACCTTACTCTTGGGTATTCTGGTTTTGGGACAGCTTCGCGAACACTTGATTCATAGCATTGAGTAGAAATTCTAAATGACATATGAGGTGTGCGCGCACTCAATATCCGTTACAAAAACATCATGAATTATGATCAGGATGTGACTCATTTAAAACATATTCCTTACACTGACTAGAAGTGAATGGATTGTGAGAATACGTAATATTTTATATGGGATTATCAGAACTGTAATTAGATATGAACCCATCGAGAACTTGTGCTTCATATTGATCAAGGTTTCTACTAGAAACAAAAGCATTATGAAAACAAGCAACATCTGATATTGCATCATCATAAATTGATTGATTTGAAATATTTGTCTCACAATAATTATGAATTTCACTCAACGTGACTGGATAAGTAGAATGAGTAGAATCTGATATTTGGACACTGCCCAGAGTGTTAAACTTATTAAAGGATTTGTTGACCTCTTCTTCAGTCATAAAACTGTTCCTTCTTGCATCAGGGAATGTATCAGTTACCTCGTTAAATATATCCATAATTTTTGAGTGTGATTCCGGATTTGATTGTTTAAGCATGTGTTCCTTCAGTTGGCCCTCGTACGGCCGAGGGTGAGGAGAGTCAGTTCTCCCTCCCGAAATTCTCTCACATGGCCACGCGTATATAGTCCCTGCCGAGGAAGTTCTACTCACTGCCTTCTCGCGGCGAGGGTGTTGTTTACGAAATTGAGAGGACGAAAAGCGAATGTCCGGCGCTTTAACCGGGTTGGTGGATATTGAGGATCCACTTAGGGCAGTTGGAAAACCCTCACTACAAACCAGTGGTGCACATGGGTTCGAGGAATTTTAGGGAACAAATGGAGTATGAACCTATTGTTTAGTCACCGGCTACCATGGGACTTAATCTCCTTACGATGCACCACTGCCTTGTGGGTCAGACCTTTAGGTCAAAGGCTTCGGGTGTGGACCCCTAAGAGAACCACGTGCTTCGGTTCGGGCACCCGAACAGTATTCCAGCTCTCACACAAATCAAATGAGATTTGTGTGGCGCATGTGTATCTGGTACCCCCTTGTACCAATATTTATGTGTTCAAATAAATAAATATATAAATTCTTCAGTGAACGGATGAGAATTAAGTGAACAAATCTTCACTAAAATGAAATATTGATTTTACTTCTGCAACTGAAATTGACATGCTCTTACACCAGTATCTGTATCGTTAAGGACGTTGTTGTAGATCTTGTAGGCAAGCAGAGATACATGTAACTTTTAACAGGCCTTACTATAAACAACGAAATTATGCGCGTATTCCTAGTGTAATAATGAAACTATATAAACTATCTGACTTACATTATGAGTTCATCACCTATTAACAAGAACAAATATATGGGATTTTGTGAACAATTTTATGCATTAACTTCCAGTTTGTAAGCGTTTGTAATGTTTAACATAAGGATATGATGAATGATGATATCTTTCTAATTAACTTGATTTCCTATTAGATTTAAATACACACCTGTCTATTACAGTAAGTTCATATAATCCATTAAGAGAAAACTAACCATAGAAGATTATTTCTAGTCAACAGTTATAACTGGATTTTTCAATATTTATATGATCAACAAAAGTGTGAACAGCCTTCATATTGTGTTGTTTCTTAGTCAGTTTGAACCAATCCTACTATTTTTAAAATCTTATTACAATTGATTGATCACTGTGTGGATGACCAATGTCATGTGTTTCAGGTCCTTCTTAATGTATATCGAATGCTATCGATCAAGTTGCAATATGTGCCACTAGTCTAGGTGACTAGACGTTACGTGCACTATGTAGAGATGAGATGGTGGTTGGAGGTAGTCAACAGGAAACCCTGAACCCAGGTTTCTTGCTATTTGGCACTCGACAGCAAGATGTACCTGTAATCTTGAGGGAGTTAGTGCTCTCTGACGGATTCGATCTCGTGTCACCCAGTTTCACAGTCAGAGACGTTACCACTGAGCTATGCGGGCCGTGACCGACCTCGTGTAGGACTGAGATGTATTTACAATTGATTGATCATTGGGTGGTGATCAGTGTCATGTGTATCAGATCCTTCTTTCAGTCTTTTAAATGCTTGCTAGGAAATTTATCCTTAGAGATATTTTACACGTGTAATAATATAATGTCAATCAATGTTTAACGAAGGAGAATCATTGTCATTGAAGAAGAAAAAAACGAAAATTCAGTGAAGAACATTTTCTTTTCGACGATTTCACCTACTTAATCTGTACAATTGCATTTTTGGTGAATTCTATTTGCTAAAAGAATATTCTATAGTAAAAAAGAATCTCGCGAGGCGTGATCGTGGGTGCACACTTCTGAGGAGTCACATACTAGGACGAAACAGTCATTCAATGCTTCCAGGTTTTTCATGATGGTCTAGCTTCAATTGACTCATGAATTCAACTATTTAAATAGAATAGTGTTGAATATTTAGAAACGTGATGTTGTTTACGAAAATCAGATATTGAAAGTTATTTAATAATCGTCTAGTGAAAAGCTGTAAAGTGAAGATAAATGTTCCCATAATAGCTGTTAAGAACAGAATAACTAAAAATTGTAATAATGGCTAATTAATAGTTGTAAAAGCAATTGGAAAGGAGTATAACTAATGATTGAAAAGAAACGATAGACTATGAAAAGAAGGTTAATACCATGAAAGAATGAGAGACTAAACATACTGTTTTTGTCCTTAAACGTTATACTTGAACAGGTGGATAGAAATGGCCTCTTCTGTATCTAAGTTTTTCATTTATATTGAGCCAACTCTTCTGACTGTATGTATGATTTTGAAGGAGGATTCTAGTGAAGCAAAGTGACCAGACTTGACTAGAAGCTCCAAGATTATGCTTCTGATTGACTTCTGTAATCCTTTAGAGATCCAGGTAATGCGATGTTTAACAATGTGTTTCGAAAGACCTCACTTTTTATAGCCTATATAACCTGCTCCTCACGATGAAATAACTTTAACTATAAATACGATTGTACAACATAAGTAGATAAAATCATCAAAAAGAATATTTTCGGTAAATTGCTCTCTTTCTTCAATGTTGTCGCATCCATAGCTTGTGAAGCAGTAGTTGTAGGCTCAAACAGTGAGTTACCATTATCAGTAATCAAATCTAATCACATAATAAAAAAAACTATTTTTAGGTTACTAAATTACTTTGAGTCCGTTTTTTTAGTTGATAGAGTTACAAGAATGATCATAAATTATACAGAAATCCAATGTTGTGCATAAGAAAAATCAGCGCAATTATAATAGACATCAGAAAGTTTTGCGATTTGTGATAGTTAATTAGTGGTTAACTTAGTATTGTTGTTTTTCTTACTTGTATCTTCCCATTGTTATTTAGGACTGTAATTGATCAGTCTCATGTTGGCATATGTGCATCCTGTGCGAATCGCTTCGATATAACCTTAATCCACAAGCATTATAAGCAAAGATGGGTAGTGGCTAGCAGTGGAATCCAGGACGTTCATTTCGTCCTATTTGGGACTCGTCAACTGGATGTACCTGCATCCCAGAGTTGATGTTCACTCCGGGAATCGAACCCAGTATCGTTCGCTTGGAATGCCATCGCGTTATCCACTTAGCTACTGAGTACTGATAGTCACCTGCTTGTGCAATCGAATGAAGTTAAATTCACTTGGTGTTGTTTTTACTAGTAACTTCCCTGACGAGTCATAAATAAGACGAAACGCGCGTCTTGGATTCCACTACTAGCTACTATCCATCTTTCTTTAGTTAATGGTTATTTCAAAAAGTATAATTTTAACTGTCTTGTCTTATAATGTCAATTCCTTGGAGGAAGTGGAGCAGAATTAATATTATGATAGACAAGGTTTCAATTCATTAAAGGGTAAGTAACCAACTTAGATTGATTCCCTCAAATCATCCATCCTGTTTAGTTTGTGTTAATGTTTTACACATGAGAATGTGATTCTATTGTATAGAAAACCCTCTATTTTGTTTGTCAACTGCCTTATCCCATGATATCAGTTGACCTGGAGATTTAAGTCAAAAAAACTTTAGTTATGTATCATTACATAGTATCAATCATTTGATCCTATCATTTGACTTCATTAGTTCAACAATATCTAAATATCCTTTAACAATCTTAATCCATAACATAAACTTGTTTGTCATTGTTTTATTTCATTTGTAATGGACATGATGTCGTTACTCTCTCTCTCTCTCTCTCTCTCTCTCTCCCATCTCAAACAGTTATGATCTTATCAATATTTCATTGGCTTCAAAACCTGAATGGTTTTTAGAAATGTATCCAACTGGCAAAGTTCCATTATTATTATTACCAAATGAACAAAAATTACCAGAATCTGATGAGATTATACGTCATATAGATAAATTATATGGTTCTGAAACTTTATTATCCCATTGTGGTATTGAAGAATTTGATAAAGCTAAAGAACTTATTACTGGTGTAAATGTTGCATAGTTTTATCATCATTTAATTAATATTACCATAGAAGAAATTACCACTAGATGTATTTTCTTTTATTATCTACCTTTAAAATGAAAATAATCAACTTATAATTATATTCATTATGTTCTTTGTTTATTGTACAACAGTAGGTTATTATATGATGTAATGATATGAAGAATGGCACGGCTGAGAGTGGCGAGAGTTGGCTCTCTCTTTCTCTTGAAATGCTCTTACATGGCCATGTGTATACAACCACTGACAGGGAATTCCTACTCACTGCCTTCTGACAGCAGGGGTGTTGTTTACGAAATTGAAAAGATGAAAAGCGAAGGTCCGGTATCTATAGATAACTATTCCGTCGAGAATATCAATAGAGATAATTCAAACAGATATTAATAATAGTTTAAATATTTTACCCGTTATACAAGTGAGTGGCTATGTGGACTCGTCAATTTAGCGGGTAATGCGTTCGTTATTTCAAACGAAAGGTATTGATTTCGAACTCCTATCTGAACATCAACATTGGAGTACAGGTATAATTAGCTAAAGAGTTTCAGCTAGAACGAAATTTGCGTCCTGGATTCCACTACTAGCCATCATTCACCTTTGCCACGAATGAAATGTATCAAATTTATTGTCAATGACAGAGGTGCATTCACTGTTCGTCTTTTCTTAGATCTTAAGCTTCAAAATTCCTCACGACCTTTTTTTATTAATTCACCAAGTTATGTTTTCTTCTTGAATTGTATCGTGGATACATAATCTTTTCTATTACCATTACTACTGTTACTACTTCCACTGCTCTGGGATTTGCCCTGACAAATCTATCTTGCAGTGGAGATTGGGTATAGCAACTTGAACTGATGTATGCATGTTTCAGGTCCTAAATTGTATCTGGTTAACTGATTGAGAGCCTTGGTGAGGAACTAATTGAAAAATGGTATTTATTCGCTAAACATTTGGGGAAGATCAATTTGTTATTTGATGAAAAATTATAGAGTTATTTGGTAAAATATAAAAACTGAACTTCATCGTTCCTTCACTGATATTACTCTCTGTTTACATTCCCGTTCTCTTCAATTCGATATTCTTAACCTTCTGTTGTACGGCATTCCACTTCTGATTGTAGTTACACACCACTTATGTTGATAGACATAAGTAGCATACACTACATCAATGGTTTATTTATTTAAACACATAAACATTGATACAATGAGGCATCAAATACATATGCGCCATACTTTGTCATTCGATTTGTATGAAAGCTGGATTACTGTTCGGACGCCGAAACTGAGGCAGGTGATTTTCATAGTGGACCACTCCTCGAACCTTTGATTTACAGATCTAATGTATAAGGCAGTGGTGGAACAAGTTTAGGAGGTTCACTCTCATGGTCGACGGTGACCAACAATAGGTTCATATTGCATTCGTTCCCTGAGGATGCTGGAACCCATGTGCACCATTTGTTTTGAATGAGAGTTTTCTAATTCTCTTAGATGAATGTTCTGTATCCACTAACCCGGTTATAGCATCGGACGTGCGCTTTTCATGACCGTGTGAGAGCATTTGGAGAGGGAGAGAGATGACTTTCTCCACCCTCGACCGTACCATAACATAACTTTTATTTATCCACGATAGTTTTACTTAATGAATATATATATATCCTTTGTATTATATAGATATCGAGACCAAGTTATATGATTACGTGTATGCCTGAAATAAATCTATGTGATGTATCATTGTATCGAGCAGCATGCAATAAGATAAATGACGCTATCAAAGGTCCATATTTTACTGGTAATTCAATTAATTTATTTTAATGATAAATATGTATTAGATTATTGTTACAATAGTTAGTAATAACCAGTAATCTTCTTTATCAGTTATCTATTTTAATTTACCTCCAACAATTCAATAAGTTACATTGGATGTGAGATCCTTTAAGTTTGGTCATATTTTCTAATTGTATTTTGTTGCTAGGTTACAATCTTCATATAAAAAAAGAAAGAAAAGAAACTTGTCCCATATTCACTTAGCATTCTAATCAAATATTATAAGTTATGGGAGGGCTATTAAAGACTTTTTAAATTTTATAATTTACCTCATGAATTGACTTTTGTTAGAAAATCATTGGAACCATGAAACACTGGATAACCATTTCGACCTAGTATCAATCAGTCAGTGGTCTTGAGTGTTGTTAGAGGTATGATGGCAGTTATCGATTCCCGGTTGCTCACACTGTGAAAGGGTTCTTCTGGAGGTACCTGAAAGTGAAATTGGATTAAAGGTGGTCTTAGTGAACTGAGAGCGTGACTGCAGTGCCCAAGGGACAACTGCGTTAGGTCGGTCACATACGACCTTTTTATGAGTAATTTTCGTGTTAGCTCCGTGTACTTGTTGAGACCTTACCACCGGAGACGGATATCCGTGGGATAATGTGAGGTGTGTATTTTTAGGGTCTATCTTTTCCAACCCCTTCCCTCCTTGTGAGAAGGCAGCATCACTGTTATGCTAGTTGACCTAATATAGTACTTCCCAAGATGTACATGCATGAATTCGATAAGAATCGAATCCAACACCTTCAAGTCTCACAACAAGTGTTTAATCTGAGATCTAATGTTGCCATCTCCTAGACTTGAAAGTCTTGTATGTTCGATAATCGGTGGGGTCTTGTTGATTTTAATCTGTGTTAATGATAATAAACCCCTTTATATTGTTCCGTTCTTGCGGTTATTTCACATTACACAAAGAAAAATAAATGTCCAAATGAATGTTTCATTGTAATGCGGTCTGATGGATCAAAGTTAAAATCTTTATGAATTTTATAGTGGATTGAGTTTAATTTAGAATCATTAAAAGATTTTCAAAACAATTCGACACAATTAAGTGAAGTTTTGTCTCAATCTGTATCAATCTTCAGTTATATTATACTTCCAAATACAACTGATCTTGAGATGGTGGACAAGATTTGTAGCTCAGATGGATGATTTTGATGGAGTTTTGTAGTCTGAGTTGGATAGTTTGATTGTGGAGCTTTCATTGTTCATCTGAACGACATCATCAGCAATGGGAGATACAACCAAAACAAAGAAGTAAACAATAACAGGTTTAAGATCAACAAGAACCAATCAACATCGAGATCTACAGGACAAGCTGTGAACTATATGTGGAGAAATTCGAACACTTCACATCTACCTAAAGTTTGTGCTGATGATGTTGTTCAGAAGAACCGATGAACAAAACTCCATCAAAATAGAACTGATCTTAAATGGAATATTATTGAAAACCAATTACTATTAGCCTCATGAAAGGCATAATACCTTTTAGTTATTAAGTTACGATAGGATGTACTCCATATGTTCGAAAGTGACCTGGGAAACAGTGAAACAAGGTTTTGTTTATATTATCTGATAATTTAAACTTTAAATCTGTAAAAATTACATCACTAAACGCCTACGGTTTTTTATGCTTTGATCACTCCATCCAACAGATACTAACTTGATCTGAGCTTATGCTACACATTTTTAGCGAATCCAATTTTATGATTCTGTTGTGAAATTATGATAAGTAGTTGGTTTCCACGTTCTTAAACTAGTAGGATACTTAGTTAACAGCTTTAAACAAGTTTGTTTGTTCATCAAATCATTACTCCCCTATGTTGGGATCATCAAGTGAAATAATCTGGAACCAGATGCACGATAATAAGTAAAAGTGGTTAATCTACTAAAGAGTTGGTAAATCTTCATCAGCTGAGATGGTTGAGATATGTATTACGTATCTCCAACCATCACAACCACCACCACACTCAACAAGCACTATTTGCTGGTGTTAGGAGTAGGTTGTGAGAAAGCTATACATATCCGAATCAAGATAATATATCATTCCATGAAGTCCCTTACTATTCGACCAAGATGTGTTGGTGGGTGCAGGCTGTCTGTGCGCGGTCCACACGATTATCATAACCAATCGTTGGGGATTTTGATTGAAATGTTTCAGATTCGGTTACAATTGTGGTGTAGATGAGTTCACTCTTCGGCTTGCCTTAGATCTTAAGCTATGAAAGTATCTTATAGTCCTTATTCTAAGAATTCAGGTATATTCTATGCAATTTATTTAATACTTTTATCAAATAGCACTTCGTCGACCTGCTTATTAGGCCAATAACTATTTTATCAGAGGTGCTGGAGTCAATATATTTCTTTAGATATTACTGTATTATCACGCTATACGCAGATGTTATTTTCGAAAATCATTGTTCCCACACTCCTAAATCAGTTTCCAGATTCCCGTCTTATTCGCTACGTGTTTGTAGTTTATACAAAAATTGGTAATCATCATCTCTCTGTTTAGTCAAGCTGTGGGAATATTACAATTTAGATTGTGTTTCGTCATAGTATTTACATCGTAGTCTAAACTATTATTTGTAAGGTATAACCTAGTTAATATCCGAGGATTCTTGCCTTATCATAGAGATTTTCATTCGTCTTCCAATCTAATTGCTTTTTCTCTCAAATAGTATTTTTTTTTTCTTTTTAGGTCCTGAATTAAGTCTAGCCGATTTGATCTTATTCCCACATTTGCATCGATTTGAAGTAGTTATGGGTCGAATAACCGGTAAGAAACCAGAAGAAATTAATGAACTAGATATAAATGATGAATTACGTAAAGAATTTCCAAAATTAACTGAATTTTTAGATACAATGCGTAAACAACCATTTGTTATTGATATTACTATCCCATATCGTATTCATGTTCAATATTCGGCTTCAATACTTTCAGGTCATGCTAATCCAGACATAGAATAGTTTCTAATTATTTCATTATAATAATCCTTTATTTATTTATTTAAAGACCGATATTAATTTTATTCAATATCATGATATGATTGTTAAGAAAATGATTATCGTATTATAGTACAATTATAAAGAATTGACTGGTTATGTTATTTATCTTTCTGTAAAGGATAAATTTGATTATGGTATATCGTAGGTAAACATTATCACCATCATCTTTTGTTTCCATTATTTTATTCCTTGTAAAGTTGATTTTCTTTTAGATGTCATGTACCATTAATGTATGTTGTAGACTGATAGCATAATCATACAGTGACTGTAAATGTTGGTTCCAATCAGTAGTATGGCTCCCAAATGCCCTGGTACGGCCGAGAGTGGGCTGAGTCCGTTTTCCCTCTCGAAATACTTTTACATGACCACGCATATATAGCATGTTAGGGAAGTCCTACTCACTGCGTTCTCGTAGCGTTACTGTTGTTTATGAAATTGAGAGGACGAAAATCGAATGTCCGGCGCTTTAACCAGGTCGGTGGACACGGAGAGTCCACCTATGGGAGTTGGAAAACCCTCACTCTAAACCAATGGTGCACATGGGCTCCAGTATCCTGGGGGAGCAAATGGCGCATGAGCCAATCGTTGGTCACCGGTTACCATGGGACTGCTTCTCCTGACGTTGCTCCACTGAGTTGTGGATCAAACCTATAGAAAACAACCTGCTTCGGTTTAGGCTCCCGGTCAGTATCACAGCCCTCAAACAAATCAAATGAGATTTTTGTGGCGCATATGTATCTAGTGCCTCCTTGTACCACTATCTATGTGTTCGTATAAATAAAATAAAATAGGAGATTAAACACATTTTAGGCGAGACTATAATTTACGGACGAACCAATCACGTATAAGATAACAAGTCTCAGATTTTGGCGCGAAATTCTCTCATCTATTTGGTCAAATAGCGGCTTGGCGTTATAGTTGATGTCAGTTCGTGATGGAAATTCTAAATCTAATTTCCAACCTTAATCAACAACTGTAAATCATAATTCTAATCCCTCACTTAGTCGTAGTTATTAGGACATTCTCAAGGTCAGTTTAGCGTCGCTCAAAAGTCAAAAAATTACAGTCTTACCTAGATTTACGACAATTTATCTGTTTAGGACATGTTGTAGCTACTAAATGGATTTGTGACACGCGTTTCGTCCTGTTCAGTACTCGTCAGCTGGATCTGCTTGCATCCTAGTATTGGTTGTTTACACTTAAAATCAATGCTTTTTATTTCAAATGGCCAACGCGTTACCTACCAGGCTAATTATTGCAGATAACCATTCATTTATGAATTGATTATGATGTTTAGACCATTATGAATATTGGGCTTAAGTCATCCCATTGTTTATATTAATGACTGAGTTTGATCAGTCTTTGTTTTCATAAATGCATGTATCCTGTATTGATCGGACTTAATGTAACCATTGTCACAAGTTATTTAGAATAGGTGTATGAAAATTGACAATACGTTAGCTTAAACTCTTACTGATAAATAACATATATCTGCTGGTATTTTTCTAGCTTATGAAACTAATCAAGTATTTCAATATAGGAGTCTGTTTGAACATTTCACATCACCTTAGCAATTCTTACAGCGACATCGGTCAGCTGAATTTAGCGATCAATATATATCATGTCGTAATAAACACTACCATTATATTCTTATGGAGATATCCTGTTAGGCCTACGTTATTAGATAAGTTTTCCGAATTATTACTTATTTTCGTTCAAAACCCAACACAATCGGTAATCCAGTTAGCCGAGTTCCTTGAAATATGTTCCTTATCTACTCATCTGTTTTATTTTTAAATCTTAGGTTAGTGTCAGCATATAAGTACGGAAAAACGCTGCTTGTGAAATATTACATCTTATTTCCCTGGTCAGCCCTAATGGGTTGGTGTTTGACGAAATCTCAACACGAATTCGAAAAGCTCGTTTGGCTTTTGCCAACTTACGTCACCTATGGCGAGATATCCATCTATCGATTAAGGTACGAGTATACTGCGCAACAGTTCGTCCTGTTCTACTTTACAGCTGCGAAACGCAGCCATTAAGAGTAGAAGATACTCAGATGTCTTAGAAATATTGCTCGTATCTGCTGGGATCACAACGTAAGTTACACAGGTTACACAGATACAGGGTATTAGAGAATGACTGTAAAGTAGTAGATAAGATTGTCAATCTTCATCGACTGAGATGGTTGGGCCACGTGTTACGCATATCCGACCACCGATCACCACGACGCGCAATGCTGACTAGTTGGAAGTTAGGGGCGGCCAAACCAAAATGTGGCATCAGTGCTCGAAGTCACTAACTTCTGGTTTGAGCCATGTTGGTAGATACAGACTACCTGGTTAGGGTCTGTGTGACTATCATAATCAATAGTTGGAGACTCTGTGTGACGTGGCTCAGAATCGATCACAATAGTGTAGGTGTATACACTCTCTGTTTTCCCGTAAACTGTGAGATTAAAATCGCTTCATATCATTCTTTCTACCAACTAATTCTTCATTCCTGTGCTATATCCTTATATGTAATCTTTCTTTTATATAGTACCGTCATTGAATTAACTACTTCTATGAATCAGGTGTTTATCTTGTTATGCTAATGAAGTGTGGCAACTTGGACCGATGCATATATGTGCTTGGTCCTATGTTGTAAGCGACTGATTTCCTTGATCCTATTCATACAAAAGTTTGGACAATAAAATTCTATAAATAAATTAAATCAGATCTGTGGACTAAAACTTTAATTTTTACTTAACTAGATCATAGTTTTAATCTAAGATTTAGGTTATCGCATTGAATTGGATTCGTTTAACAACCATTTTAAAACACTTATAACATAGCATCTTCTATTCACAACGCTAATATCATGTATTATTCAATGAAGAAGAAAAGAAAACAAAGAAAGAAATATTAGTTACAATAGAAATCATATTTACAAATAAATTGTATAACTGATTCATAGAGAATGTATATTAACTATGTATGTACATTAGAAACAATTTGTGATACCATTGCATCAAGTAAACTTAAAGCTTGTTCATAAATACTTTCATGTTTTGTATTCTTTGTAATGTTTATATTATTATCATTTGATTCTGGTAATTTAATCATATCAAGAAAATTTTGAATTGGAATATGTAAAGAAGATCCATTTGTTTTGTCAATTTCAAAATGTGTTTGACCAGTATAGATAGCAAATATACTAGGTTCATTAGAACCATAATTTTTAGTATAAAGCTTTGGATGAGTTACATCTATTGCAAATGTGATTACTGTGAAACGTAGAAAAGAAAAGAAAATACGATTTATTAGTAGACGCATTCTTTTTTTAAAGTAGCTTAATTTATTCTTATTTTGTGGAGATACAAAACACTGATTAGGTGATCGCAAGTTCTTGCTTACAAACTCATATGGGATTTTTTGAAAACGAATAATTGACGTATATATTGTTTTATTTAAACACAAATATTGATACAATAAGGTACTAAATATCTATGTGCCATACTTCGTCATTCGGTTTGTATGAAGGCTGGATTACTGTTCCGGGGCACCGAAACTGAGGCAGGTGTTTTCCATAAGGTGGAGCAACATTAGGAGGTGCAGTCCCACGGTCGATAATGACCAACAATAGGTTCATGTTTCATTCGTTCCCTGAGGATGCTGGAACCCATGTGCACAATTGGTTTGGAATTAGGATTTTCCAATTTCCCTAGATGGATCTTCCGTACCCACCACCAATCGGACATTTGATTTTCGTTGTGTCAATTCCCTAAACAATACCGTTGCCGCAAAAATGGGAGTAGAACCTCCCTGGTAGTGGCTGTATACGTGTGGATAGAACGATTGGAATATAAAGGATCTTCATTGCCCCTCAACAAAATACGTTCGTTTGTGTATTTCGTTGACTATTCATTTATGTAACAACATGTACATAAAATACTGTAAAGATGTACATATTGGACTATCTATTATAAAAAGGCTGAGATCCCATAACAATTTAGTTTTGTTGACAGTAATTCAGTGAATAGTTTGATCTATGAGAGTATGTCAAAAACACAATCAATGGAATAACTATTCCAGACAGGCAGACAAATATGTTCATTTTTTGAAACAAGTCTGATAAATTTAGACACTTTTCTCACGATACAGATATTCACATATTGTGATACTGACAACATATCCATTAATAAACAGAGTATATGAAACATATTTGACTTTCTCATGTACCAGCACCAGTAATGAATGAGATGATAGCAACCGATGGTTAGAGACCCTGAATGACATGGCTCAAAATCGTTTGCAATGGCGCAGGTGCATCCACTCTTAGTGTTCTCCCAAATTCTAATCTTCTGAATTCTTCATGTCCCTTTTTTCCTCTTTCCAAATTTATTTCACTGAATTATACTCTTTAAATAACATCTCCAAACCCTAATCTTCCCGATCACTGCTTACACTCTTGCTACCTCTACCACTATGGGATTTGGATCGACAACTGCATCTCTGTGTTAAGGTGGTGTGGCAACTCGAACTGATGTACGTACGTACGAAGTTCTACGTCGTTACTGACTGACTGATTGAATGAGTTAATTTTATATGGGATGGGGTCACTAACCCTATGTCCAATCCTCCTTCTTTATCTGGGCTTAAGATCGGCAGTAGCTCCAGGTGGAGCTCAGCACCAGTAATGAGGCAACTATGATTACTAAAAATTGGAATGACTGCGATTATATGATCGAAAGCAAAGTATCAATACTATTTATAGCTTTTTATTATGGAAATAGTACATAGAACATAACTTATTTCGCTTATCTACCCCCAAATGCTCTCATATGGTCGCGTGCATACAATCATTGCCAGGGATGTCCTACTCACTGCGTTCTCGCGGCATTACTGTTGTTTGCGAAATTGAGACGACGAGAAGCGAATGTCTGGCTCTTTAACCAGATTGGTGGACACGGAGAGTCCACCTAGGGGAGTTGGAAAACACTCATTCCAAACCAATGGTGCACATGGGCTCCAGTATTCAGAGAGAGCGAATGGCGCATGAGCCAATCGTTGGTTACTGGCTACCATGGGACTACTCCTGACGTTGCTCGATTGCCTTGTGGGTCAGAAGTTTAGGTCAAAGGCTCCGGGTGTGGCTCCCTAAGAAAACCACGTGCTCCTATTTGGGTGCCCTGGCAGTATCCCAGCCCTCGCACAAATTGAATGATTTATGTAGCGTATATCTATCTGGTGCCTCCTTGTACCAATGTTTATGTGTTTAAAATCTTTGGTAATATGAAATTATTAAGAATAAATTACTTACAAGCATTTTGGACTGTATGACATACTGATGCAATTGTTGCTCGTAATGGTAAACCAGACAAAAGAAGAGCTAATGAAATTGCGTTTATGGCTGCAGCCACTGTTCTAGGATGATTAGTGCCACCAGTGACGATAAACAAACGTCCAGTAAACTAGATGACAAAAGAAATGACTAATAAAGTATATAGGAATAATACAAATGAAAGATAAACTTTACTCCTTCGGTAAGAAATCACAACCTACTTTTAAGGAAAAAAACTGAGACAGTACATTGTAGTGGAAAAAAGGAATAAGTGGAAAGTCATGATATAAAATAGTTTTATGAACTGATTACTACTACTATTTTTATAAGGAGAAATATTAGTGCTGATTTACCATAGTATATGTGAAAAGGACTTATCAGTTGTGTGGTGTTCTCATCACAAGGTTTTAAACATTTATCAAGAAACTCTAATACTCGCTTATATAAGAAAACTGTCTGGGAGACCAACATTTTATTTGGGCATAGATTTTTACACTTATAACTTAAAGAACAAAGAATCCTATGAATTAATTGCTACTTGGATCACGTATTTTTTGGTAAACGACCCCGTGCCTCCAGGTTTTTAATAGTAGTCTAACATTGATATGTTCATGATCTCAATTGAAAGTCGACAAACTCTACAAACGTATGCTAAAAACAATACTTCCTCCCAATAAATACATCTAGAAACTTAACTAATCCTCATTCTGTATCCATCTTCTTGTTATATATAATTTTGTTCATTTTTATTTGAATTATACACTAATCATACTTATCTTGTTTAACAAGAAATTCATACTACTTATTCCATTTATTAAGTTTTACATATAAATAGTCCTGATTAGTTCTGGTTGATGTAGAGCTATGGAAATGGAATAGCAATTCATTTACGATAAATTTCCCAGTATTATTTTGACATGTCCTACTTTAGTTATATCTAAGACAAGCAAATTATTACTTTATTATGAGACGTTAGTTAATTCACGAAATCAATGTTGGGGTACACGGTGAATATAACATACCGACTTCAACTTAGTCACTAAACGAATGATAAAAGTTTTGGGATTTTTATACGATTGTATCAATAGACTGTGAATAGAAATCTCATGACAAAGTGTTATTTCCCAGTGGAGTTACACTTTGTAAAGTGGTGACTTCAATGGATAACGTTTATTACAAATGTCTCTTAAGATGTATAAATGATACCAACCTAATTTCCCTAACATTATAAAGGTTATATAAATATGATCTCGTTAGGATCATTAAAATTATTTTAGCAAAACAGTACTGTAAACTTCGAGTTTCGTACTATGCAGCAGAAGATCTCAATTAAACGGAATATTTTCAACTCAGAAACTGTCACACTCATAGCACTAACCTTAGATCGTGGGAACTCCTTCACATCAATCAGACGTTCCAAAAGATTGTTAAGGTAAACTTCAAGCTCTAATTCCTTTGATGTTCGTTGTCCAGTACGAGGTGTAACTGTAACGTCAACACATGCACGATGAGTAAGTTCATCATGGATCTTAGCTTCATCTGGGCCGTATATGGAAAAAACTACATGATGTCCAGCAAAATCCCATGTCGCTGATCCTACAGCATTACAATCAGTATTCGTCTCAATAAACAAGCTTGTCGAATCCACCATCTTTACGTACTATCCTGTGGATAACAAGCAACACAGACACATTTAGGAATTACTATTAGGGAAGTTGTACATACTGTTAAACTTTAAATAATGAAAACCAGTAAAGGAATGTGTAGAGATGTAGCTTAACGGACAGGACCTTTCGACTATTAGATTTCCCGTTAGCCACACACTATATGTTTAGTCTCAGGCAGCCAAGCATCACTAAGGGTAAAAAATGGAAAGTTAAGGTAGATACTTCTTAAGCTCGACGTCAACGATCATGAGTTATGGCCGCAAATATCAATTCTTATTTGATCCTGTGCTTTTATTACAATAAATTCTAAATGTTTGCAGTAACGACATTGATCGTATTATCTTCTACTATGAATTCGCAGAACGGATAAATAGTGCCACTTAAACTATGAGAAAGTACATTATTAGGAAACATTACGGAAAATTTACTGTATCTGGTTACACAATCGTATACCACACGTTATCTCAATGACCCCAAACTTCGAGGCAGTCTCATCAGATATTTTAAGTCACAATTGTGGAAAAAAATCAAGAATCGACTCAGATCTGAGTTTTCCAGAGATTTACAATATACCAAGAACATGATAATGATGCTGTCCTGGAACGACTTTGAATATAGGAATAAATAAGTACGCACGACAAATTTCTTTACGTATGTGGTGGTTTAAATTCCAAGAGTTGATCATATATCTAAGAAGGCAAAGATTATCACGAATTAATTCGTAATTACAAAACCACGTGGATCGATGATACAGTCTACGCGATCTTAGTTTCAGTTTCAGTTTCAGTTTGGGAAGGACAGGAGGCTCTATGGCCTATGTTAGTCCTGGCAATGGTGGTCTCTCAGTTGATCCAACTTTCTTTTGAAAGAGTCGACGGATGGAGCCTCAACCACGTGCTGAGGTAGTGAATTCCACTCGTTGATTATTCGATGGGAAAGTCGATAGTCAGCTGACAAGTAATTTGTTCTCGGCTTGTGAACTTTTTTGGAGTGTCCTCGTAAATTCTCTGTTTTGGAAGACAAGAAAAATGAGGGCATGTTAGGTGCAAATTTATCACTAAGCAATTTGTAGACTTAGTCGGTCTGACGAAACCCAGTAACTTAAGCTTCTGTATGAAATCATAGTGACAAAATTTCTAGCAGATTGTTGCTCAGTTAAGAGATGCCACAAAATAAATAAGTCACCCTTTGGTCAAAATTACCTCTTTTCGCCGGTACAACCTTGAAAACGCCAGTATTGGTGGCGGGCATTCTGTATTTTAGAATATTAAAGATTCCCATTGTGAAAATTAGAACACGATGGGTCATGAGTTTGTAGACCGCCTTGCATTTTTAGTATCCTTGCATTCCGAAGAAACTCTCTTTGTAAAGATCACTTCATTTATCACATTTAGTTGTTCGTTTTTCAGCCAGATGAAATTTCCGGATTGTGCATTGGTGTATTCTCACTATGCATTTAAATGCGTAGGTTGCATGGAGTGGTGCAAAACATTTCGTCAACTATGAATGACTTCAGTCAAACGTTACAGAAAATGTCAACAGCCATTTCGGATTTGAGTATTAATGTAAAGCAATTGCTTTCAACGTCTAATGAGCGCGAAAAACCGTATCAATTCGACTGCGGACTCTCAAGTCAGCAGTTCCCTTTGTCATCTGAAGAGGAACCGCAGATGCTGGAGGCAGGTTTGCAGCAGAAAGAACCCATGGACCGACTTGTAAGTCATAAACATTAACATAATAATTCGTCACGATTACAGATGGCAATGGTTACCAGGCTATCGGATGACGATCCGAAAACGTCGATGCGGTATGTTCTGTCGTACCTATTGACACCTGAGGTCGCCAGTAACTTCACGTTACTTGGAACTTCTTGGAAATGACCACTTCAAAAATGCCGATTTTATGGCTGCGTACAAAGTAACTAATATTTAGTATTTAAACTTCAGGTACGTTAACAAATCGCTTTATATCATCCTCTGTCAACGAAAGAGACCTTGCGAAGCTGAACGACATAGCCACACAAGGTTATTTTCACGATGTCAGAGACAAAGTGATAAAGCGTAAAAGAAGGAAAGAAGGGCAGCTATGTATTAATTGTAAGTGATAACTTTTCTTACCGCTACATAGTTACAGTCATCAGTATTAACGGACATAACCGTAAGTTTGGCTTGAAGTATTTGGCTATGCCAAGACTTGTCATTCATAGATTGTTGTGACTTTTTCTGTTTTTTAAACTTAATAATTCACAGGACGACTACTTCAATTCTCAATAGGTGAACGAATGTGGCTGAAGGGAATAATTCATGCAATTTCTTTTATGTTCTACCCACATTTTAATAAACATTATTTTGTCAAAGAGCTTACTTTATTACTTACTTGGGAAACTGTAGAAGTGTTGAGAATGTGTGTTTGTGTCAGTTAACTTCAGATAAGATGCAAATGCCTTATGAATAATACATCACCTGTTTCATCTTTTGTAGATCTTTTCAAATAACAATGAATCGGCAATTACAATGGATATACTAAACGATTGATGCTCAAGCGTCTGCTCTAACGTTGTACAACAAAACAATTTTCCTCTTAAATATAATTTTTCAAAAATATAATGGTTTTCCAGTGCGACATTCCGATGCGTTTTCCTCTTTATTTCCCCTTTTTCAACTTTATTTCCCTTTTCTGTGTTGCTTGGGTTAGCGTAAATATGAGCGAAATACCAAGACATTTTCACTCTATGAGAACATTTATAGGAATTTTCTCATTATTTCCCTCTGGCATGCGACAAGGTATGCATTATGTCGCGTTTCTCTTTTATTTTGCTTGGATGTTTGATATAGGCAGTAGATCGGCTAGTTCGAATAAGACTCCGGTCAATATATCTGTTTTTCCTCGAAGACGATCGTTAGTTCAACGCTTCTACAATTCTAAAGAATCCAAACATGATTATGACGAATTTTAACAAGTGAGTGTGGCATAATTGTCCTAAGTGGAGATAATGTGTACTTGATACGCTAACTTGGGGAGTAAAGTAAACCATGTTGAACGGTGGAGGCATTTCTTCTTTGGTTCTAAGTGTACATCTGACGTTATATTTAGCCAACAAATTCAAAGTAACTTGGTTGTTAATAAATGCTTTGGGTTGCTCTACGAAACGGTGAGTATGAAATAAGGTTTTTCAAGATGACTCATAACTACCCGTGTTTTACAGGACTCACAGTATATGATTCGTTAAACAGAATAGAACTTAGCTCCTACATCGCAGTAAACATTCACCTTAGATAGGGTAGTCGAATATATTAAACAACCGTCAGTGGTGTAAGCACTATGAAGTCTAAAATCACTGAAAAAAAGTTTGTATTTAATATTTTTTTAACTTGGTTTCTTGAAGATTGTGCAAATGCTTAGTAAAAACCCAATCAGTAAATAATGAGTTGCATCATTGCCATATTTCAGTGTGTCTTTAATTGAGGGTTACAATTTTTATAAACTAACTCCTTGTATTTGGTTAAAGTCAAATTTTTGTGGACAAAATAGGAGAAGCTTCTGCGCTTCAGGCTTTGGTGTCCAGTAACACGGGACCATCGACACCTTTAAAGAGGGACTTATATGTGTGAAACAAGAGGGATTGTAAAATCAACATTATAAATTGACCTGAGTTGTAAATAATATAGCAGCTTTCCTTTTGAAAGACTTAATAGACATTGGTTGAACCAACTCCATCGGTAGCAAATAACAAGGCTGGGGTACACTAAAGGTGTACAATGTGTCTTCACTCCTGATTGATATGTTGAACCTCTAACTTACGGGTATCGTCCCTAATCTTTTATGTTTGGATTCAAATTGGGCAAGTATTTTAGAGAAAAACCTCGGATTATCATTAGGAACTCATTAAGAAATTATCGTTGGGTCACCTAAAATGCAATGGATAAAGATACAGTGATTCGATGCATTGTTCAAAAGACTCAAATTGATTTTATGTCTTGCCTTTGGAAAAGTTGTGAACGAAACAAATCATCGGAAGTTTCCTTATTTACCTGATGAACAGCCTTAATCGTTCAGTTGTCCCCCACCTCTTCTCTTCACATTATTTTAAGGACAAGCAATGCTTTAAGCAGTCTAACTACCGTTAGGTAGTCTTTTTACAATCCATTAAATAAAGTCTCCCAAGTTATTACTTTGTTGTCCTGTTATTTTTATTACTGCTCCCATATTTGCTTGAAGTTTCATTGGTTTATTTCTTTTTTTGGGTTTGATTACAACTGTAACCATTGCAATGTTTACAAATCCTAAATCGTAGCTACTTCCTTGGTGTTACTAAATCTTTGGACGGCTGTTTTTGCTGTGTTTTTTAACACTACTTTAAGGCTATAGCTATGTTGGATTGTTATGCTTTGGTTGTTTTGTGAATTGATTCCTGTTTGTTTTGTAGACAATTGCAACTGACTCTTAATTTAATAGTTGATTGTTCATCTTTTGAGCGAATTTTGTTGACCTATTCTTTTTCTTCGGGTCGAATATTGTATCTTGACTAATAGAAATGTTTTTTCTATCATCATAATTAGGTTATATTTTCGTGCCTATAGGTAACCCTCGTGCTATTGATAGAAGAAGCCAGACAAGAAGTGAATAGGTCTTTATTTCGATCTTAGCGCAGTCACAGTGAAGCGTGGTATTATCTGTTCAAACAAACAAAGGCTTTCAACATTCAATATAAGGTAATAAGGAATATAACGCTTATACAAAATAAGGAAGTGAATGAATACTTGAACAATACTGTTTTGGCATATGCTTGGTTGTTTAGGGTCAACTCTTAACCAACCAACCTATGCTGTTACATTAGCTCCCCCTAGAATCGACTTCCGTAGGAACGTCGGTTCGATTAACCTATCTATCAAAAACACCTTAGTTCTATTTCTCATCCCAAGGGAAAATTATCAACTCGCTCAATGTTTGACTTACAATCAGTGGCAACTAACGCTTTCAACGGTAGTCCATGGATGTCTCTTCATTTACTAGCTTGTCATCTCATTTTGTAGCATGTGATTTCTTCTACAACTATCGCTGACGGTTTGCTGCGTGCTTCCATGAGAAAGAGTGTGAGACTGTGGAATAAGAATATCTGAGGAAGTGCCGCGAGCGGGCTACCCAACACCATGTTGGTGAGGTACGATTTTTCCATGCTCAGACCGGCTATCAGGTGTTTACTCACCTGCCTCTTGAGTCGCCCTCAAGTAAAAAGTAAAGAAGAATCTACTTCAAAGGTAATGGTGAAAACCAATCAAACCTAAAGAACTGCTCCACTGCCTGCATCAAAATAATAAGATACAAAATGGAAATACATAAATATAAATGATAATTGTTCGGTTCCACGTAAGTGATTGGCCTCCAGAACGGATTGGTATTCTGGAAGAAAATAGACGTAGTGTAGCAATCTTGTGTACGGAAAGGTATGAAAACAAAAAAATCATTTTTTATAATGTATATATGTAAAAGTGTAAACTTGCTAGAAGTTGGACTCATTGTCAAACCCGTTCAAATGCGTGACCTTGAGACTGTGACGACCGCATTTATAACCACGTACGTAACCAAGGGTGCATAATTTTACTCCATAAAACGGAAGAGAATATACGGTTAAAGAGGGGAAAAAATTGTGTAGAGTATGAGGATCAAGTACAGTTGTGTCAAATACTCTTATCTGGTTTGATTTAAATATGTATGATATATTGAAGCAATATTTCGTCAATTCATCCAAGTAACGAATTTGTCTGCACCTTAGAAGTGTGTAAGTCCTATTGCTCATTAGTATTATGAATGATTAATCGGTAAAAGGAAAGATTACAGTCATTCCTTTCGTGGTCCGATGTGGTCTAATGGCTAGGCACACGGTCTAGCCTACAGGACGGCAGAGGTTTGAGTGCGTGTGGGGCATGCGTTTTTGTTCTTCAAAACCCCCTTCAATACGATGTTTGTTGGCCATAAGTTGCTCAGGTATGAGAGAAAGATAACAAGAGGACGGACTAATATGTCAAAATGCCAAAAACAGTACAAGTTCTTTGTTTGGATTACTAATAATACTATAGAAAAAACTACAAGTTTGATAGATTTCCATTTTACGTTATACTTCAACCAACGAGAAGAAAAAGTATATATATAAGTTATTGACATAACATGTCTTTTTTATAACGCAGGTGTTAAGTTCCAGGGTTTTGTCAGGACCACAAATAATAATTGGTTTAACGTTAACATAGCTATGATAGTCATATCGTTAGTTCAATGTTATGATTACTTAAGAGTTCCTTTATAAGTTGTGTTTAAAATTAGGTATGCGGAATCAATGCGGCTAACATAGTAACCTTACAGTAACGCACTGTACTATATCTCCACGGTTATTGATTCTTAAATGTCAGAAATTTAAAAAAATCTGAATATTGCCAATAAAGATGGGTTATATGATCACACTAAAAAGCATGCTGCAGGAAAACTGGTTAAGTCATTCATAAGTTTCCCAAACATGAAAAAAATGATGAGAACTTTAACAAGTACTTGGCCATGGTTTAATCCAAAATCTTTTGTCTAGAAAACCACTTAATAATAGTAGTATTGATCGTATCAAGCTACTAAACATATCTTTGACCGAAAACTTTTAGAAGTAGTTTATATGGTATATATGTATAGCCAGTCTACGTGAAAAATGTATATAGATATATAAGAAGTACAGCCAACATAGTTAATTAACCAGAAAAAGAAATTAAAAAACTCGCCTGCGTTGCTTTTTGAAT